GCTGCTGGGCTTGGAGCTGGGGAGGAGTGGAGCTGAGGCAGATTAGGGTGAAAGCTGGGCTAAGATCAGCCTTAGGTTACTGGTTGGGATTGGGGTTAAGTTAGGGTGGAATGAAGTAGAAGTTAGTGACAGGAGTTCAAGTTCAGATTGGAATTGGGGTTCGGGTTAAGGTCAGGGTTAGAGTGGAGCTGAGGCTGGGGGTGGGGCAAGTGTTGGGGTTAGGTTTGGGATCAGGGTGCAGCTACAGTTGCCACACCGGGTTGATGTGGGCACTGTAAGTGGCGTGGAGGTTGGCTGGAGTTAGATTAGGGCTCCTTTGTGGGGTGGAGGTTGGAGCTGAGTCTGCAGCTGAAGCGGGGGGTGTGGTTGGGGTGGCTGTATGACTGGGGTTGGGTCTGGGACTCAGTGTGGGCCTTACGTGGAGCTGGGGTTTGGTGTAGTATGAAGGATGGGGCATGGGTGGGGCTGCCTTGGGCTGCAGGAGCCCTGTTTCTGGCTCACTGTAGTTTCTCAGTTTTCCCCTCCTGAGGTGCAGCGGGATTGGGGTACAGGCAGGGGCTTTGGTTCCTGAAGCCTCTTTGTCCCTTAGCACCCTGGCCAAGACTCACCTGGTGCAAGGCAGGGGTGGGGAGGGTGGGAGGGGCGGGAGTGACGTGGCTCCACACTGTGGGAAAGAGGAAACGGCTCCTAGGCCTCAGCCCTACCCAACCCCTCCTCTGACGTCTGCCCTGGGAAATGGGAACAACTCCTCTTCCCTTGCCCCCCAGTTCCCTGGCCCAGCCTGGGCCCAGGTGTAAGTTCAGGCCCCCTCCCTCCCCTCTGCATCGAAGCTGCTGGGCGCTGGACCTCAGGTCCTCCCGGTACCGCAGGCCCGCCCCTGAGTCCTGCAGCCTTGTCCCCAGCCCTCACACCCTCCTCGTTCCTTATGGGCAGCAGGTGTCTCTGGGATTGTTTGGGCTTCCCACATCCTCTTGCTCCCCCTTCCAGGCTATGCCACCTCTACTACCTGCCTCCCCACCTGAAGACCCATCAGCGGCTGCCCAAAACCTTCAGGAGAAAGCCCAGACTCCCTGGCCTGGCATTCAAGGCCCTTCATGATCAGGCCCCCACTCACCCTTCAACGTGGATCCCAAAAGACCCCCCAGGAGTGGACCCGGAAGAAGGGGCCAGGCCTGGGGTGCTGCAGGTGAAAGCATGGGACTTTTGAGCCAGGCAGGGCTGTGTTGGAGTTTCAGCTCCATCAGTGAACAGCTTTGTGACCTTTCTGAGCCTGAGAAATGGACACAGTGACGGCTACATAGCGAATTTCGGATTGCCTAGAAAACTCTCCTCAGGACCCAGCCCCAGCGAGCCTGGGTTAAGACCATCTCCGCCTCCTCTGGGCTCCACCAGCCCCCGTGATTCCCCATCGCAGAACCTCCCCAACCCTGTCTTGCCCACTCGCCCACGAGCTCCTGGAAGCAGAGCCCGTGTCTAGCTCTTGGTGTCGTACGAGGCCTGGCGCTGTGTGGTGCCTCTGAGCCCTTAGAGAGTCAGAGGAGTTGTGGTATTTGTAATAAGTGTAACGTGAACAACTGCAGTGAATGTTTATCAAGCTCTCGCTCGGGGCTGAGTCCTCTACAGGTGTGGAAACTAGACCCAGCCAGCAGCCCTGCCTCCCTTCACCCTCCGACCGCCGGCTGCAGAGGCCGCCCTCCGCTCTCTGCGAGGATGCTGGTGCTATTCCTTCTGGCTCAGAGGTTGTTTAACTCTTAGGTTGGGGTGACCTCGACATGGTTCCAGTGTGCAGGTTAAAGTTGGGTCCACTAAGGCCCTGTCCTCCCGGTCCTGGCTCTGCTTCCCTGCGGGCTGGAGGCCTCAGCTGGCCCCAGTGGGAAAGGCCTGGAACAGAGCCAGCTGGGAGTCTGAAGACTCCCATACTGATCTGTTTGACCTTGAAGAGGGTGTGGCTCACATTTCACAGCCTCTCCATCCCGCTTATAAACAAGTCCTGGAGGGTGTAACAATCTCTAGTTCCTTTAAGAGCCCAGAACTGCCTGAGGAAGACATTACAATGTTTGTGAACCTCCTAACAGCTCTGGGAATATGTAAGAAATAACGTAGAACCCCATTTTATAGATGGGTAAATTGAAGCTCAGAGGCCCAGAGAGGTTAAGAAACTAGGACTTTCCCAGGAGTACGTACAGAGGTGCCTTGTGCAGTTGTATTGGTAGTG